CTTCATTAGTCAAGAGGTAAGTGGAAAGAAGGAAGGAAGCAAACACGTACAAAGCTATGTAGAGAGCTGGGTACAGTGGTGCATGCCTGCAATCCCAGCACTCTGTCAGACTGAGGCAGGAAGATCGCAAGTTCCATCCCAGCCTGGGCAACTTAGTGACTTGTGAGAAGCTGTCTCAAAATTTAAAAATAATAAAAACAAACAGGAGCTGGGGATGCAGCTCAGTGCAAAGGCTCTGGGTTCAATCTGCAGAACAAGAACAAAGTTGTATACAGAGAAGAGCGAAGGGAGGGAACCTTGAAGAAGGACATCTCACCCTACGTGCAGAACAACCTCCTCATCAGAGGCCAGGGTGGGGCATTTCCTGCCCTAGATGGCTGTTTTCTCTGCTTCCCACAGGCCTTCCCAGGAGGAGGTGCCTCATAACATGCTTCCCTGGGGAGGGGGTTACGAGGATTAAGTGGCCTGATGCAGTGTAGCCCTCCACACGGACCTGGCACTCAGGGGACATGCGGCTTCATGATTAACCAGCCTGTGCCTACTAGAGAGGGTAGCTCCTTGTCACCATGGCAACATCCTTTGTGACAACTCCTTCATCCCTTTTACCCTGGAGTCCATGTTCCTAGTGTCCAGATCAGGCTGCCATAGAGCTGTCCCTGTGGTGTGTCCCTGTGGTGTGTCCCTGTGGTGTGCATCCCTGTGGATAACAGAGCTGTCCTAGGTTGACCAGCCACCTGAAACATCTCTAGTTTGGAATGATGTCCTACACCTAATGTGATACAGGACCCAACAGTCAGGAGCCCGTGTCCGTTTCCAGGGCTCACCTGGTCCATTAGCCCTGGAGGTGGAGGAGCCCAGCATACAGGTGCCGTCCATTCCATCCTCATCGAGGGCCCCTTGCAGATGGCCTCCTTGCTGTATCTGAGGGCTAAGAGAAAAACCTCTCTTGTAGCTCTTCTTAGAAGCTTATTACTCTCCCCCTGGAATGACCTGATTACCTTCCAAGGCCCCCACATCCAAATACCACCCCAGTGGGGATGAGAACCCTCGACACACAAGCTTACGGAGAAGGGGAGACACAAACATGTAGCCCATAGTGCAGGCTCACCGACACCGCATGACAGCTAACTGTGCCTGTCCCGGGCACCGTTACCCCTGCTATCACCGTGGGTCTATGCAGCAGAGACAATAACCTTCCAGCAAGCCTAGTTATGTGAAAATAGGGAAAGTGCCTTTTAGCGTTTTCATTTGAGTTCCAACTCAGTATTCTTTAAATTCATAGTTCTAAACAAATCCCCTCATGAGGCACCAACAGCTAGGAGAAGCCATCTCTGAAACACAGAGTGGTAAGCTACCAAGATAGGGAGCCAGTGAGACCTAGTGCTGTCGCTAAAGGAAGCCTTTTGCACCGCACAACACTGGTGACCTCATCCCAGCCTCCAAGAGGCAGATCCCAGCCTGGTCCAGCAAGGGCAGGGACCTGAGGCCGAGGCGCTGCACCAGGCGATGACTGGGATTCCAGCCATTGCCTAAGAAGCATACCTTCCCCAGATAGCAGACCCGCCTCTCCTAATGCTGGCCTCAGAAGAGATCCTTGCAAATATTAGACAACAAGGACAGACACTGCATGGCTCTCAATAAGACAATGTCAGAATTAATGCTGTTCTATGGAGCCCTGTATGAGGAGGTGTGGTAATCAATGAAGACAAACGCTGGTGCTTAGATTACAGAGCAAACGCTGAACTGGCTGGTGAGCAGAAACAAGGGAGGAACTAGCACCTTACCATGAACGGTCAGAACCATTAGCCGCTGACTTCCTTTGAGAAAGAGTCTGACACACATATTCAACATGAAGAACCAACCAAGCATTTACTTCCAGAATGACTAAGCACATATTCTACTCGTGCAAGCATTTGTTTTACGATGTCATGCCCTTGAGAGGAAATCGTGTCTGGGTAGGCAGCGATTAGACTACACTGAAAATTCACTTGCTGTTTCAATTGCATGATGACTTGGTTTTTATGATCAAATTCTATAAGGGCTGCTTAAGCTGAACTGGGATGACAGAATTGGCCAAAGAAGGATTGTCCTGGTCAGCACTCCAGGCCAATGGCTCCCCTGAGGGGGGGCACTGTAAGGTTTGAATCTGACCTGACTCTTGCAGCCTCCAACCTGCTTGCCAGCAGACACTGCTCTCAGCAGGGAACTCAGCTCAGCACCAAGGCTGTCATCAGCAAGCAAGGACGTCATAAAGGAGATGAGACAGGACAAGGAATTTTGCAGGCCCCCGGACATGTAGAGACTTCAAGGACTTTGCCCACTGAGATGCAAGACTGCCAGAGAACTTTGACCACAGATGTTTATTAAAATCTTCCCACCTAATGTCCCCTGCCTTCTTTCAATCTGTATAAAAAGGGGCCCACTTCCCTTTGTTCCCTGCAAATGGCCTTTTTGCCCTCTGTCTGCCTGCACCCAGGCACAATAAATTCCACGCCCTATTGCCTTTACACAAGCCTGGTGGTCTCTGCTGATCTCTGCCTTGTGCTATTTGTTACAGGCACCAGTTTTCCATGAGAGGGAAAGGAGAAGCTGTTTCCAGAGACCTGAGAGTCTTCCCAACACTATGCATTCAGTCTCATCTTCGTCTGAGTAGCCTCATCTCGGCAGAGATCAGACTTCTTCAGAGTATTATTCACTTTTCTGGAGTCCATGTAATATCAGAATCGTTCTCTTTTATTTTCCAGTATAAGAGGCAGTAGGAAATTTCAAGAAGGTTGAAATAGTAAATTGCCCTTTTGTTCTTTTTCTCTTTCTTTCTGTGCATGAGGGTATGTTGCTACAGATTAAACCCAGGCCCTTGACACTGAGCTACATCTCCAGCCATTTATGTTTTATTTTTAGCTGGACATGGTGGTGCACACCTGTCATTCTAGCACTCGGAAGGCTGAAGCAGGAGGATGGTTGTGAGTTTGAGGCTAGCCTGGGCTAAAAAGTGAGTTTGAGGCCAGCCTGAACTACAGAGCAAGAACTTGTCTCAAAAAAAAAACAAAAAAAAATTTATTTTTTATTTTTATTTTGAAAGAGTCTTTAAAAACTTCAAAAAACATGAAACAGAGTCTTGTTCAGTCACTCAATCACCTATACTGGCCTTTGACTTGTAATGCTCCTGCCTCAGCCTCCCAGAGTGCTGGGATAACAAGTGTATAACACCACACACAACTTTTTATTTACTTATTTCTTCAGTGAGGATAAGCTAGAAACTGAGTTCTGCAGAACAGTGAACCAGTGTTTAGTCTTAGAAAACTTCCTGAACTTATTAAGCATATGGTTTCAGGGTAATATTTATGCAGTTATCCCTAGGGGCCAATGTGGGTTTCTAGAAACCTGAAAGTCCCAAATTAGAGTAAAAGTGTTTCTTGAAGGTGATTCAATATGCTGGCCTTTTTGGCAAGAGGTCTATTCATGAAGATATCACGCTGTTCAAACATATCAGCCGTGTCCCATAGGTACGATAGCTGCCCTTGTTCAAGCGGCCTTCTCGGATATTTTCCAGTTTCCACAGTTTCTTTCTCTTCTACTGGTTCTGACTTCTTGTGAGGATTTCAGCTCTTCACGTCTTCAGCAGCCCACATAATAGTGATATGTTTTAAGGCTGCTACACAAACGTCCTTTCATTTCCCTCCCCCATACATCATGTTCCCCGCCAGCCATGAGCCATTCTCCAACAAGGGAGAGTGATCCGATGCCTCAGAAGACACAGTGAGTTGGGTTGTGGTGGCGATGCCTGTAATGCCAGCCTTCAGGGAGCATGAGGCAAGAGGGTTGTAAGTTTATGCCCAGGCTGGGAAACTCTGCAACTGCATGAGACTTTGTCTCAAAATAAGACTTAAACAAACAAACACTGCAGATACAGCTCAGTGCAAAGGCTCTGGGTTCAATTCCTACTACCAGATGTATAAGCTGTCCCTCAAGGGCAGGAATAAGCATAGGCCTGTCGGAACTACAAGCCACCATGGGCCGCTGTGTCAGCTTGAAGGGACCACAGCACGAAGTCTCCCTGTACCACGCTGAGGGCCACCGAGAGCTGTACTATGTGCCTAGGTCTGCAGTCCCCTGGGAAAGATGCCGGAATGATGAGCAGATGGCACCAGGTGCCCTGGGATGTTCAGGTCTCACCTCCTCCACCAGCACCATCACAGGAAACGCATTCACTCACAGGGATTCATCACAGACAAAGGTGTGGCCGGAGGCACGATCCAGTGGGAATAGAAAGGAAACAGACCAGACCCGACGGGGGCGAGCTCACTGGCTGTCAAGCTTACAGTTGGCGTTCCTTTGTGTTAAAGCGGGTATTCCTTAAAGGCTGAGACCACAACTCACGCCCGTTACAGCTTTTATTAGCTCAAGTTATGAGGGAACTGATAAGATGTTGCAAGCAGTTCAAAGGAGAATTTATGCATGCACACATCCAGGAAGACTGAAATGACTACAAAACGACCGGTTCCCCTCCATAGACAATAATTAACTTTGGCTCCACACAACACAAGCTCGATTCCCAACAGTCATTTGCAGAACAGTTTGTAAGCTCCCTTGTTACACTCAGTGTTCTACACCTTAAAACACTGTAAAACAGTTGAAAGGCAAGGAAAAGCTGACGTAACCAAAGGGGTGTTGTGTGCTAGATAGCACAGACACCATTTTTGCTCATTTCGAAATCTTTCACCTTTCCTCATATCTGCTAACAAAGAGTAGGGGGCTATTTTTTCTTGAGACAGGGTCTTTTTACATACTTCAAGTTGGCTTTGAACTTGCTATGTAGCCCAGGCTGGCCTCAAACTCTCGGCAACCTTCCTGCCTCAGCCTCCCAAGTGATGGGATTACAGACGTGCACCACCACACCCGGCCCTAAGAACAGGGACTCTTGTAGAGGTCTAAGTGATTTGTAGAAACTAAAGTTGAATTTTATCTGCGTAGTTTAGAAGTAACATGTGCATCTGTACCTGTGCACGAAGTGGCCTCCAGCGACACTGCTGCCCTCTGTCACTCATGTCCACCTGAGTCACTTCTCGCAGGCGCTTTGCAGAACTGCATGTGACACACAGAGCCAGGGCTCTGACAACGCGAAGCAGCAGTGTGCAGGGTCCTCAAAGCCACAGCTGCCAGGGCCTGGACTAGGACAGAACGAAGAGATGACTGACCTTCTCCCCCAAGTACCAGCCCCATATGTACGGGAAACCCAGTGTCACACTCATGTCATCTTAGGGAAGTGTCCTTTAGATTGTTCTTTGAGCCCCTTTCCCTGGAACTCTGACTTAGGTTTTTGTGGGCCAGGCCACAAGCCCAGCTGAGGGACAGGAAATGACAACTAGGTCTTTATTGTTAATAGCTGACAGCTAAAATCCTGTTTGTGATGCTATTTCTATCCATTCATCAAGCCATCCACCCAGGCTTCCAAGGCGTCAGCCAGGCCAGGTATTTGGCTTGTTGAAAGTTAGCAGGACACTCCAATCCTATTATCTGAAGTCTTTCCAGGGAGTTTGGTCTCCCGGTCCAGGGAAACAGTACCATTTCTCTGGGAAGCAGCAAGGTGCTAAAGTCAAAGAAACTCACACTTCTCAGCTGCTTTGTGAAATATGGGGATATTCACTCCCAACACCTAACTCCCACACCAACTAGGAATGCGCTCAGTAAATAATCATCAATCATTGGATGTCCACCACAACTGCCCTGTGACTAGGTCTTAGATTCAGGCCAACTGTGGTGACGTGCTCTCCTTCGCCCTGAGCAGCCTTACTTTATTTCATCAGTCATTCACACAAAATTCATATTCCAAATCCTTCTCAGTGGCTAACCAGCATAAATCACCCTCTATTTTCATATAACTAATGTTATAGCTACAATTCTGCTAGCCCATTTATAATCTCATTAGCATAACTGCTTTGGGCTATAATTACCTCATTTCTCCCTTCCACCGGACATACACTATGAATGATTTCATTTATTCTTGAGTTTGTATCACTTCCTACTTGGTTCCATTGCAGGTTCAAATTTGGACTTGTCACTTCCTCTGGAATCTACTCCCTTTTTTTTTTTTTCTTTTTTTCTCTCTTTCTTTCTCTTTTTCTTTCTTTCTTTTTTTTTTTTTTTTTTTTTTT